GATACAATTTAATTTATATACGAGCTCGGTCTGTTTTGAGTCGACAATCCTGTCCTTGCCCTTTCTAACGATTACATTTAATTTCTTAAGTACTGAGAACCGAGTGTCGAGAACTGGTCGACTCAATTATTAATCACAAAGGTCTTAATTTACTACTGGCGACTCAATTTTTCCAACGATACTGAAGAATGTTACTAAATTTCAACGTAATTTTAATCTATAAAAATCTTACAGGTAGGTACTTTAGCTCAGCGACATAAACTCCCTGGAAGCTTATTTTATCGAATTTTGTAAGCTTCCCGAGAACTCTGCGAAACGAACTCCCTGGAAGCTTGTTTTGTCGAATTTTGTAAGCTTACCGGGAGCTCAGCAAAATGAACTCCCTGGGAGCTTAATCGGAGCTTTGTGCTGTGCGGGATAGTGTCTCTATTGTCACATCGTGAGGCATACGGCGTTGAAGTGGCCGTGTCGGCTCAGTGTCTGTGAGCCGGGAGCCAATAACCAGAGAAGAAGAAGACGGTTACGACAATTTCAACTTTTGCGGCTGAAGATGCGTCGATAAGGTAACATTCATAATAACCGACACAATATTTACCGACTGTAATAATTATACTTGTCGGTAATGTCGCAAAATGAATTTTTCACCTAACTTTGTTTAAATATATTGGCGCCAAGAAAACGCACGAAGAAATCTCTCATCGAAAGTTCGTTCAAGAATCGTCTTTTGCAAAAAAATTCCCCGAGCATGAAGTTTCTTTCATAGTTACTCTTCCAATTAGACTGTCGATCCGTGTGTGAGATCTAATTACGCTCATCACGTTCGTACGTTTGCGTCCAACAGATGCTGGGAGCTACTTGCCGTTTCCTCTTAATTAACAGTTAGTCGCAGGCAACATGTGTACGCCAGCGAAGATTAAAAAATTAGACGAGGTCGTGGTAAATAAAATCGCGGCTGGAGAGATAATCCAGAGGCCTGCAAACGCGTTAAAGGAGTTGATAGAAAATAGGTTAGTATTTCGAAAAACCGTCGTCTGTCGCAATTCGCACTTGCACAGATTACCGATTCGCTTTTACGTTGCAGTTTGGACGCCAAAGCGACAAACATACAAATCACCGCGAAGGAAGGAGGCTTAAAGTTACTACAGGTATGTACCTGTTGTACAATTTCAATCATTGAGGGTCTACCCAGACAAACTTGCATGGCACAAAATCGTATGCACAAGGATCTGATTGGACTATAAATGCATGCATAAGGAAATAGGTCAACCAATTTCTTTATGCGTATGCTTATGCACCTATGCAACTTTGCTCGGAAAAACCCTAAGGCCCGGTCTACAATGAGATATTAGTCAGAAGTCAGAATTGTATGTCGGTCGTTTTTCTTTCACCCGGAAGGGAAAAGGATTGGCATATACTTCCGACTCCTAACGACTAACGATTCATCGTAGACCAGGCCTAAATGTCTCAGTCCGAGGCTCGGTTTCACCAATGTCGCTTAACTTTAAGCTTAGTTCAATACGTTCTTTGTCTCCTTTCAATTGTTACTTTAGTAAGAGACAGATGTGAATTAAACTAAGATTAAAGTTAAGCGACGTTTGGTGAAACCGGGCCTTAATCGTACCTATGCGTAATTTGTACCTTCAGATACAAGATAATGGCACTGGTATCCGGAAGGAAGATATGGCTATTGTGTGCGAGAGATTCACCACGAGCAAGCTGCAAAAGTTCGAGGATCTCAGCGCCCTTACGACATTCGGATTTCGGGGAGAAGCTCTGGCCAGCATCAGTCACATAGCCCTTCTCGCTATCACGACAAAGACGGCGGACGAAAAGTGTGCCTACAAGTATGCAGATTTAACCGGCGAACAGTCTGTTGCGAAGAAAAAGCGGAGATGCAATTCTTGTACACGGTTCAGCTAAAACTTGGAATGTTACAGAGCATCATATATTAACAGCAAGCTGAAAGCACCCCCGGTGCCCTGTGCTGGAAATCAAGGCACTGTGATAACGATAGAGAATCTGTTCTACAACGTGGTGACTCGCAGAAAGGCTCTGTCGAATTCGTCGGAGGAGTTCGCCAAGATTACGGAGGTGGTTATGAGATACGCCGTGCATAATCCGGCGGTAGGATTTACGTTGAAAAAGCACGGCGAGCCGAGTCCGCAGGTAAGACCAATCCGATGTCGTCTGAAGGAATACGAATGGAGTATCTAAGAACAACACTACAGTAATGTTTTATTGCGTCTTTAGGTCCGAACGCCACATAATTCGACAAAGCAGAGTAACATAAGGATATTGTATGGCAATCCAGTCGCTCGTGAACTGCTAGAAGTGGAGCTGGACGACAAGGATTATAAATTTAAGCTGCACGGTTTAGTGACGAATCCAAATTACACGAATAAACGAATGATAATGCTGCTGTTCATCAACAACCGTTTGGTCGATTCTCCTTGTGAGTCTAACCCCACAGAGCACAGAAAGATTGCAATATTGCAGCAACGTTGCGCAACATTGCTGCAACGTTGAAATGTCCGCCCTCAGAGAGATTGCAGTGCAACATTATAGCAATGTTGCAGTGCAATATTTTTGGAATAATTTGTTGTACATAAGCAGAGAATTTACTAATTACATATGCATCCGGGCCTTTTTCAATACACAGCAAGCTATTGCGAAGCAACCCAAGGAGATTATGTCGCTTCGCAATAGATGGAGATTGCGAGCAACACCGCACTGATCAAGTACTTAATAATTCGCGCATTATTGGTATCAACGAAAATAATATTATAAAATTCTCGTATTTAGAAAATTTTTTTAAACAGAAAATATAGTATTTTCATTATTTTTGAAACATTGCTGCAATATTGCTATCGAAAGTTTGCAATTTTATATCCCTGCAATGTCTCTGCAAGATTGCAACGTTTCTGCAATGTAACTGCAAGCATCTGTGCTGTATGGGACGTTGCATGCGCAGTTTTTACTTACTCCGAATATTTGTCAAAGTTCTCATATTTCTGGACATTTACTTGCAGCAATCCGGAAGATGTTGGAAGAATTGTACTCTGTTTATCTCCCGAAAAAGGGCCATCCGTGGTGTTACATATCTCTGGATATTAATCCGCAGAATATTGACGTAAACGTACACCCGACGAAACACGAGGTCCGATTTCTTCACGAAGACACGATAATCGAGAGAATAAAATTCGCCCTGGACGAGAGACTGGCTGGCAATAGCGCGTCCAGGACGTTTTACTTGCAAGCTAGATTGCCGAAAGCAGACATCACGAAGGAGGTCCTGGAAGAGGTGTTACCGGAGTATAATAAGGGGAATGCGGATAAATTGAAAAAGGTTCACGCTAGAGAGCTGATTAGGACGGATTCGTCCGATCAGAAACTTGACAAATTTAACTTTACCATACATTTCGAACAACGTAGCAACGACAGTAGTACTGTGGCGAAAGAATTGCCACGTGATACGAATTCCAAGTCTCTCGAGTCCGAAATTCCATCGAGAAAAGACGAATCTGACGTTACAGAAAATATGCTTGCCGACGACAAATGTCGAGAGAAAAATTCGAGCTCGACTTCAAATACCGCGGAGCGCGATTCTACATTATTACACATAGAGGAGACTCCGGCTGATAATAGCTCGACATGTTGGAGCGCTATATTAGATAGTAAAACTTCGACTTCGCCGGGCTCGCAAAATACTTGCAATCCAGGTAGTTCTGCGCAAAAGGACACGTCGGGTGTCCATCCAGAGAGCACCACGTTTGATATCGAAGAATTTCTCCGAAACTTGGACGAGGAGGCAAACGATCCCGTAGAAGACAAGCCTGTAGATGCTATAGCCGACAGGGCTCGTAAACAAGTGTATCAGTACTTCGGAAATAGGGACATTATCGAGAGCATACAAAAAACTTCGGAAAAAGGACGGACACTAGATACGGACGATAATGAGAAAGAGGGTGAAAGTTCGATATCTAATACGAGTGAATCCGAAAGGATACCTTCCACTGAGAAGGATACTCCTGCCGATGACTCTCCAAAGTCTACGGCGCAATTCAAGTCGTATTCCGTGAATAGCTTTAGACACGAAGTAAAATTAACCAGTATCCTGAAATTACGCAAGGATGTCGAGGACGAGTGTCACGAGGGACTAAGAAACATTCTAGCCAACTTGACATTCGTTGGCTGCATCGATCAAACTTCGGCTCTGATACAAAGTGGCGTGAATTTGTACATATGCAATACTAGGAAATTAGCGTAAGATCAATGTTTCGCATAAAACTATATTTGAGATATCATATATAAATTTGTCCACAACTCTTTAGGATGTGATATTTTCTTTTTAGGGAAGAGCTCTTTTACGAAATCATGCTTTACGATTTTGCGAATTTTGGCGTTATCAAATTTTCAGTGCGTATTCCAGTTGTAGTGAGTTACGCATATTTTATAGCCATCTAACATCGTTAAAATTCATTTTAGGAACGGATATCGTTGTTCGATTTAGCAATGATTGCTTTAGATTCGGGGGAAACTGGATGGTCGCAGGACGACGGGCCAAAGGAAGAATTGGCGGCGAGGGTGAAGGAATTGCTGTTGGAAAAGGCGGACATGATGAATGAATACTTTTCGATTGTTATGGATAAAGTGGGAAATTTGAGATCGTTGCCCGTGTTATTAGGTAAACACAATGTAACATTGAACATTGTCGTATCGCCAGACGAATAAATTGCACGTATACTAATAACATTTCAGATAAGTATTATCCATACGAAGCGGAAATTCCATTGTACATGATGCGACTTGCAACGGAAATTGATTGGAGGAAGGAACAAGTGTGCTTCCAAAATATTTGCCGGGAAACGGCAAAGTTTTACAGCTATATCAACCCGAAACATCAGGCATACGACTGGAAATATATAACTGAACACGTCTTGTATCCCGCAATTAAAGAAAGTTTACTTCCACCGAAGCACTTCGCTCACGATTCAACGATATTGCAAATAGCCAGCTTACCTGACTTGTATAAAGTGTTCGAGAGATGTTAAATTACGTTACTCCAAAGATACATGAATATATTACACAGCAAATTACTAAATTAATTAAATTGAACTTTTTTTTTAGTTATTAATGTACTGTATTATTTCTGGTTTGTTAAATTGGAGAGTTTGCTATACTTCTATGTACTCACGTACGTTTATGTACTTATAAGAATGAAATTAACAAGTCTGAGAGCAAGTGTATTCAATGTTCTGTAAATTTGTACAATTATGACCTACATTTTCGGGATACCAAAGTTTTTATACGAAAACATGTTATAGACTGAAGATGACTAGAATATATATTATTATTTTCGTCGGGATTGGTATTTTGTTTTTACCTTTACTTTTTTTATAGAATTAAACTACATATATACAATAAAAGTCAATATGTACATTAAAAAAAGAATTTATATATATATATATATCGCTATCAATGTTTTTACATAAAAGTAGCGTGTGTATCTTTCGCTAACTCTTGTATATTTGACGATATAGTAACGCTTCTATTTTCTATTTTCAATAAAAATTTAAAAGAACATTAAATATACATCAATATCTTATATTTCATGTGATTTAACAAATTGTCAGAGGATATTCTATCTACCTTTACATTAGTTATCCCTTGGCAACACCTACTAATGCTGGTCTCACTATTCTTTCGTGTAATTTGTATCCTACTTTCGATACAACTACAATTGTTCCAGGCTCCTTACCCTCAACCTCCTGAAAATGGCATTTGTTACTCATTCTACATCATCAGAAATTATTACCTTACGTATCTATAATATGAATATCTTACTTGTTGAAATAATGCTTCGTGCTCATTAGGATCAAACTTGTCGTTTACTGGATTCAGCGAAATTAGGCCGTGCTTCTTAAAAACCTATAAAAAAAGTTATATTTGGAGTCACAATTCATATGCACATTTCTCGTATAGAAAGCAGAGATGTGAAGAGGAATTTTACTTTATGTAATTGAGCTTCCGTCATGACTAAGCCCTCGTATAAACTTTTCAGGTGCGGATTCTGCTCCGTTATCTGGTCCTTCGGTACACTTTCGGTTGCTTTCCCTAATACGTCTGCTACATCCAAGAGATCCTTACAGAAACCTTGAATGCCGAAAAGTTTGGCGTCGTTGATCTGCTTTGTGAGTCTAACCCTGATATTTTCGCCTTCCGCCAACGCTCTCTTATATTTATCTTCCAGTGTGTCTTTAGTTTCCTTAAGCATGGCAAGCTCTTTATTAATAAGCTCAAGCTCAGTCTTCAGTTTCATTTCATTCTCTGTAACGGTTTCCGACACGGGAGGTACGTCAGTGGCGCCTGGTTTCTTCTCTTCAGTTATTGTGCTGAAGCGTTGCCTTTGCCAGGAAAATGCAAAAGATGCTCGCGGCAATCTGTAATTATATATACATGCATTATTTATTTTTATTTGTTATACAAATATGTATGTATGTGTATGTGTGTGTGCACATACATATACAAAAGTAGTTCAAATTACAGCTACACCAAAGAAAATTATTGCAAATAACTAGGTTATTTAAAAGAATTAGGTTTGAACCGATTTACCATAGACTCTTAAGAAATCTTACTTTGTTAAGTAAAAATATTGTAAACATATATGTTACAAGCAAAATATATATATGTATACAGGATGGGCGAAGGGCCACTACCCATACAGCACAGATGGTTGCAGTTACATTGCAGAAACATTGCAATCTTGCGGATTGCAGTGCAATCTTGCAGACATTGCAGGGATATAAAATTGCAAACTTTCGATAGCAATATTGCAGCAATGTTTCAAAAATAATGAAAATACTAATTTTCTACTAAAAAAATTTTTCTAATTACGAGAATTTTATAATATTATTTTCGTTGATACCAATAATGTGCGAATTATTAAGTACTTGATCAGTGCGGTGTTGCTCGCAATCTCCATCTATTGCGAAGCGACATAATCTCCTTGGGTTGCTTCGCAATAGCTTGCTGTGTATTGAAAAAGGCCCGGATGCATATGTAATTAGTAAATTCTCTGCTTATGTACAACAAATTATTCCAAAAATATTGCACTGCAACATTGCTATAATGTTGCACTGCAATATTGCTATAATGTTGCACTGCAATCTCTCTGAGGGCGAACATTTCAACGTTGCTGCAATATTGCAATCTTGCAATGTAACATTTCTGCAATCTTCCTGCAATCTTTCTGTGCTGTGTGGGTGGCGACATTAGTAAACAGGTCACGTAATTATTGTACTTATGAAAAGGATTTTCAAATTGTTTTCCTTCCTTCAATAAAATAGAAGCCCAGACGTGTCGGATCTACGTTAAAAACGAGATTATTTTAGTGCGGTTAAAGCAAGCATTGAAATGACTTTTGGCCCACCCAACGTTCTCACGTTTAATCTACTTAACAACATTCCAAGAAATAGAGAAAAATGTCGAATGTTGTCCCCGTTATTCTCATGACTCGCTAAATCACGGAAATTTCAAGATACAAGGTTTTCGGATCCTTACTTTGCCCGCAGCATATGCAAATTCCACAACGCTAAAAATGGTTTCGTGCCGCGACGGAATTAAATGGTGAATATTTCTCGGCGTTAATCAAGGAGAATTATACTTCCAGCGTTGAACAATCAAACAGAATAGGTAACGCACGGTTAACCTCGACATGCCATGTGACTCGGCAACGAGCGTTCGGTCGCGACTCGAGCCAGCAAAAAAAAGATGAAAATTTACCTGTGCAGGCTTTTATTTATTTTATATAAATTGTCGACCGTCACGCGACTAAATCGCAGAACCGCCGGTACGACGATCGACGACATGCTTTAATCACAGCTCCGAACAAGATCCTGAGAAACGGATGATGAAACTAGACGAAACGTAGCGATCAGAGAACACAAACAATCACAACCGCGAAATATGGGAGATGCAAGACGTCGCGACACTCGCGACTTCGCACTTGAGAATTATTATTATTCTGTTGATGGCTGCTGACTCCAGAGGGAGCCAACACGGCCAGCGCACTGCAAATTTTTCATTGGCTGTGTTCAGCAGAAAAAGCTGCTTTGCAAACTGTTGTAAAATTCGTGAATCTGATTGGCGTGGTCTCTTACTCTTGAGTGTATGACCACAGTATAACCACA